CCCATCACCGTGTCCCTGCCACCAGCACCACTGGCCAAGCCACAGCCACGCGTTTACCAAGCCCGAAGTCAGCAGCCCATCATAATGCAGAGTGTGAAGAGCACGCAGGTGCAAAAGCCCGTGCTCCAAACGGCAGTGGCACCACAATCTCCTTCGAGTGCCTCCGCCAGCAACTCACCTGTTCATGTCATGGCGGCACCACCCTCGTATCCCCAAAAGTCCGCAGCAGTGGTGCAGCAGCAGCAGCAGGCGGCAGCGGCGGCGCAACACCACCAGCATCAGCACCAGCAATCAAAGCCGCCCACGCCCACAACACCACCTTTGGTGGGTCTGAGTAGCAAGCCGCCAAACTGTTTGGAGCCGCCCTCCTATGCCAAGAGCATGCAGGCCAAGGCGGCCACGGTGGGGCAACAGCAACAAGTGCAACAGCAACAGCAGCAGCAACAAGTGCAACAGCAACAGCAGCACCACCACCAGCAGCAGCAGCAGCAGCAACACCAGCAGCAACAGCAGCAACTTCAGGCTTTGAGGGTGCTCCAAGCACAGGCTCAAAGAGAAAGGGATCAAAGGGAGCGGGAACGAGATCAACAAAAGCTAACCAATGGAAATCCCAGTAGGCAACTGCCACCACCACCGCCCTATCAAAGTAATAACAACAATGGCGAAATGAAACCACCCACCAGCTGCAATAACAACAACATACAAATAAGCAATAGCAATTTGGCCACCACGCCACCCATACCGCCAGCCAAATATAATAATGCCTCCGCGAACACGGGAGCAAATAGTTCGGGGGGCAGCAATGGATCCACCAGCACTACGGCCTCCTCATCGAACACCTGCAAGAAGATCAAACACGCGTCACCCATCCCGGAGCGAAAGAAAATCTCGAAGGAAAAGGAGGAGGAACGCAAGGAGTTCCGCATCAGGCAGTATTCCCCGCAAGCCTTCAAGTTCTTCATGGAACAGCACATAGAGAACGTGATCAAGTCCTATCGCCAGCGAACCTATCGCAAAAATCAGTTGGAAAAGGAAATGCTTAAGGTGGGGCTGCCCGATCAAACGCAGATTGAGATGAGGAAAATGCTGAATCAAAAGGAGAGCAACTACATCCGATTGAAGCGCGCCAAAATGGACAAGAGCATGTTCATGAAACTGAAAACCATTGGAGTGGGTGCCTTCGGTGAGGTGACTCTAGTGCGCAAAATCGACACATCCAATCATTTGTATGCGATGAAAACCCTGCGAAAAGCCGATGTCCTTAAGCGCAACCAAGTGGCTCATGTCAAGGCAGAAAGAGATATTCTCGCTGAGGCCGACAACAATTGGGTGGTGAAGTTGTACTACAGTTTTCAGGATAAGGATAACCTATACTTTGTGATGGACTACATACCGGGTGAGTATTGCAATCATTGTGAATATAGGGAGATTTATAATGATTTTCATTTATTCTGCAGGTGGCGATCTGATGTCACTGCTCATCAAGCTGGGCATTTTCGAGGAGGAGCTGGCTAGATTCTACATTGCCGAGGTCACTTGCGCCGTGGACAGCGTCCATAAAATGGGCTTTATTCACAGGTAGTGGAGCTTTTAAAATCACTGAGTTGATCATCCAGTTTGTCACCAGATAAAACAGAGATTTTCTAACAAATTTTGAGCAAAAGTTGTGGGTTTAAGGTATCTAGAAAATCATTTCAGGCTTGTTTCACTCACAGATTCAGACAATTTTCTTATATGCAGTGGGTCACAATAATATGTTCAAATGCTTAAACTTACTCATTATTATTCAAAAAAAAACTACAATTTACATAAGTTAATGGTTTTAAAATTGCTAAAGAAAAGTAAAATATACAACTTTATTTCAAAATGTATATAAAACCAAAACACTTAAGATAATCTTTATCCTTTCGCAGAGACATCAAGCCTGACAACATACTCATCGACAGAGACGGGCACATAAAACTCACCGATTTTGGTCTGTGCACGGGATTCCGATGGACGCACAACTCAAAGTACTACCAGGAGAATGGTGCGTCTTAGCTAAAAAAACCAAACTATAAACTCTTCTAATTAAAGCCTTCTACAAATGACAGGTAACCACTCGCGTCAGGATTCGATGGAACCGTGGGAGGAATACTCGGAGAACGGACCCAAGCCCACAGTGCTGGAGAGGTGAGTTTCGTACGCTTAATTAATAAATGAAGCAATTAATAAAAGTATGCCGAACTCGCAGGCGACGGATGCGCGATCACCAAAGAGTCCTGGCCCACTCGCTGGTGGGCACACCCAACTACATTGCACCCGAGGTTTTGGAAAGGAGTGGATATACGCAGCTGTGTGATTACTGGAGCGTTGGCGTCATCCTCTACGAGATGCTGGTGGGTCAGCCGCCCTTCCTGGCCAACAGTCCGCTGGAAACGCAACAAAAGGTGTGATATTAATTACTAGATATCTGGTTTCTGGGCAGTAACTTTAAAATTTAAAAAGACAAAAAACCCGAATTCTTCAGATCTAAATTAACAATTACTTTTCTCCCTAAGTTGTAATGAATATTTATAATAATTTTTTGTTTCTTGTAGGTAATTAACTGGGAGAAAACTCTACACATACCGCCACAAGCCGAATTATCACGGGATGCCACCGATTTGATACGGAGACTTTGCGCGGCTGCGGACAAGCGGCTGGGGAAAAGCGTGGATGAGGTCAAGGGTCATGACTTCTTCAAGGGCATCGACTTTGCGGACATGCGAAAGCAGAAGGCGCCCTACATACCGGAAATCAAACACCCGACGGACACGTCCAACTTCGATCCCGTGGATCCCGAAAAGCTGCGCTCAAATGACTCAAACATGAGCAGCGGCGATGATATCGATCTGAACGATCGTCCTTTCCACGGATTTTTCGAATTTACCTTCAGACGATTCTTTGACGATAAGCAGCAACCGGATATGACGGACGATCAGGCGCCGGTTTACGTCTGAATACGCCTGAAAATCACCTACCCCACCCCCAACATCCATCCCACCCCCCAAAATCATCGTTAGTCAAATAGTCACAAAGGGGAGAGAAATTGTCGAGTGGGTTTTTGTAAAGAGTGCGTGACTATAAAATGAAACTATATATATTATATAAATTATAGGAGAAAGTAGCGAAGGCAACTATACATAAACATACAAATATATATACATAGATGCCCGCGGGCATGAACTGAATAAATTTAAAACGAAACAGAATAGATGAAAACAAGCAAAGCGAGTCGGAACTTGGACTTTTAAATGAATATATTAATATCCTTCTATACTACTCCAAATCGACCGCTTTAAACATAAAATGTTAGGAAGCAAAGGGACCAACTGGAAAATCGAGCATTTCTGGTGCTCAAAGCAAATGCAAAATGCCTTAAACGAGACGAGAACGCGAATTTACCCAAGCCCCCAAAAAATCACTCCTTTCCCTTTTCCCACCTCCAATCGATGGCCGGATTTCAATTCAGCAGGCTGGTTAATGCCGGCCATCCCACGACTTCCCATTCAGAGACGAGATTGCGAGGTGTGCGATGGAGAAACGGAGACCAAAAGTCGCACGGCAGCGATATAAGCGGGTCTTATAAGCATATTCTATATCTAATCTTGAGGACTACAGCACTCAACTCTGTGCCTTTCTATCTATCCATATATCACTGCTCATCGCAAAAGTCTTCAAACGTGTGTCCTCCCTCCAAAAAAGAACAAACTTAGAGATACCTACATATGTGAAAACTATCTAGCAAAGTTAGACCAACTTGTTGAATGCCAAATCAAATTGTTTAGTCCCATACAAAAAATGGGAGAAATATTCAACACATATTCTCTGATAGCAAACATAAACCACAAAAACATTACGAAGGAGAGCTAAGAAAATTGTAATCTTTTTAAATGTAATATTGTAAAGAAAAACGTTAATTGTAATTTATGCTAAAGTTGTGTAGCGCCCTAAGATGTTTTTTAGTTTATAGACACCGCTAACCGTAATCTAGTTTAATGCCTAACACTAAAGCGAGAATACATCAATATTTTTGTTTTCCGTAGGTTCGTTGGAAAATGCTAAAAAGGGAAAACGTTTTGTTTTTCTATTTAATTAGCTTCAGTTTGTATGTGTGTGTGTTTTTATTATGAATATATATATATATAACTATCTAAATATATATAAATGGAACCTATTTTAAATGTGAGAAGAGATCGAGCTAATTAAAGGAAAATACAAACAAACTCTGTGTGCCTTGGCCAATTAGTTTACTAAAGCAAATTAATAAATGGAAAAGAAAATTTATACAAAAAGACGTTCAGAATTTTAATTTTGGGAATTGGTGTGGAAGACGTAAAAACAAACTACAAAAATGAACGGACTTTTAATTGCCATCAACATTTTACAATTTTAAAAACGGATTTTAGTAAAATTTAAGATATTTTACTTGTATATGTAAATTTAAATATTATTTTATTTTCTTTAATATACATTGGCAATCTCCAAAGAACAAAGAAAACATTTGTTTCTTGATTTGCTTGATATTATTTGTATTTAAAATAGCGCGGCTAGAGGTGGCAGGAAATCGAAAACTTATTCGATAAGGCATTATAGTAATATCGATTGGTATCGTCATAACTATCGATTACTCTTTCTCACTCTACTAAAACGTGGTCACACTTTTTTTATATTTCAAATGCGGAAAAATTTGAAAATAATTTAATAATTTGATTCATCAAATTTGTATGTACGCGCCGTGTAGTCTTTTAAATCTATATTTATACTTTTTTTTTACTTTCCCAAAACCGGTCACTCTAATAAAAAATGTATTTAAATTTTAATAATTTTTTTGTTTTATTATTTTCACATTGTAAATTTAATAATTATAATAATTGTTTTGTAAATTTATCAAGACAAAAAGGTTTTATTCATTTATATGAATGCGTTTTTATCCATTGAATCGTTTGGCTTACTTTGATTAAAATACGTTTATGCGTAATATTTGAAATATAAGTTACTTGAATCATCTCTCAATATTTTTTGGTTATTTGTTTTGGATGTTTTTAGCGGATTTTTGGTGTTCTCTGTCGAGCAATAAAATTAACATTCGATGCCGTTTCAACGAGGTTCTTAACTTAGGATCGCTATTGTTGGACATAAAAAATTAAACAAATAATACAAGTATACTGTACTTCCTGCTCCGCATATTTACACATAAAGTGAGGTGAACAACTTTAACAGAGAGTTTGGGGGTAGGACAATAGAAAAGATGGAGTTTCGGAGTTTGGAACACATTAAAACGATCGTCCTCCAATTAAGTGTGTATCGTATTTAAATAACTAACAATTGTTTATGTTTATGTACGTGAGTGTTATGTAGTGTAGTGTATTTCATATAAGGCCCTAGAGTGCAAATTTGCGCTTAAAAATAAGTTTTTCTTTTTTTAGTGTTTAAGTTAACATTCTGTTGTTGTTAAGGGTTTTTTTTTTTAACTAGGCTAAGTATTTATGGATGTAATAGTAATTATTGTTAAATTTATGCTAACGTGTGCTGGCTGTATTTGAAATCTGAAGAATTTCAACTCGAGTATAACAGTTTGCGTTTGTTTTGCTTTTGGTTTTGGATTCTCTAGCTTTTGTTCTTGCGAAATAATTTACAAAAAATATATGTATTTACACATATATACTTATGATCGACATCGACCATGCACTCCGTTCTCTACTTCATTAAAAATACAAATATATAAAAATTAATTAAGTATTAAATGCATTTTTTTGTGAGTTGTTGTTCTCGTTTTTGTTTTTGTGTCTGGAAAAGCAAAAAAAAAATCATGGGCGAAAATTCCTTGGACAAGTTAAACATCAAAAAAGAAATGTTCGTTGTTCTGGAAACCTTGTTGTTTGTTCTTTAACTAATTATAGTTTGTGGCTGAGTAAGAAACGATTATAATTGAAAGTTGATTTGATTCTTTGGTTTTTTGGCTAGCTCAGAAATCGAAAGCATTATCAATTATTTAGTCATAAATTTATTGTCATGGCAAACATTTCGATAGTTAATAGGGTCTTTTGGTTTTCCGTTTTCCGTTTTTGATTTTTACATTTAATACGCACATGGAATTTTGCTAATAGATTTTTCGTGAGACTTTTCCAAAGGTTTTCTTTTCATTATTACATGCTAGTATTTTTTTTGAATATTCTGAAACGTTTTTTAATCGTTAAATAATCTTTAATAAGGCCAAATTAAGTTTTTGTATTCGTTTCGTATATATTAAATATTAGTTAGCATTATTTTTAGTTTAGCATTAGATTTAGATTTTAGATTTAGTGGGTTGTCGAGTGGCAAGCGGCAGCCGGAGGCCTTAAATGCATGAGTTGCACCTTTTTTTTGGGGCGCGGCTCTGGCCAAATGGAATGATCTTGTAGGTGTTTTGTGCTCATTTCGCGAATGGGTTTTTAAGAGGGAAATTTAAAGCGTAGTTCGAGAAAGATTTTTTTCCTTAAGTAAGAGAGCTTGAAACGCGCGGCAAGCGGTGGGTTTTCCATTTAACATAAACTATATACGAATGGGGGCGGTGTGGGCGTGGACTTTACAATGTGGTGGCTTTAATACAGTTTCGCTGCTTAATACTTTTGTATCTCTGGTCTTGTCTCGGTATTGTCTGCTAGTACTTTCTTTGTTTTCTTTGCTTTTCAGTTTGGTCCGGAGGTTGTGGGTGGAAAATTCCTTTCAAGCGGCTTTGCATTGGCTTTAAACGCTTAACCGAAACTAAAAGTTACAACTTAAAAGAATACATAATCGTATAAAATATACATTTATTCCATTTAGGAGTGGGCTCTTAACGATTTGAGTTTTGAGTATTCTGCAGTACTTGGTACTGGTATCTCCAGCTCCTAAAACTAAAACATTAATGCATAAAAAAATAGATAAAACGATATCTTTAAACGAGTCGGGGCCAAGCAAAAATATTTAGCCCTTATCTCGAACTTAGGCGGTAAGGTAAATTAATAAAATACTAAAAACAAAGTGGTTTCAACATTGTAAAAATAATAAATTCGCTCATACGAAAGGTTTTTTTTAACTACGTTTTCTCATTTTTCTGGTTAAATGGCTATAAAAAATATTTCTCTCTTCGTTTTTGACACTGACTCTGTCTAAAGTGCAATTTTTTTTGGGGGTGTTGTTCTGTGTGTTCCTGCACATTTTGAGATTTTCTGTTCGTCTGTTTTTTAAGTACAGCCTGTAAGTGCTGGCTTAGCTTAATTTGGAAACATTTTGGCATTAAAGAAGTCGAAGGCGGGCGTGGACGTGGGCGTGGTCTGCGGCAAAGGCGGCGGCGGTGGAGGCAGCAATCCCGCATGATGGTGAAAGTACTGCGCCGACGGAGGCTGACCAAATCCCGCTCCCGAAAGTAATGGAGGTGGATGTGGAGCTGGCGGACGATGTTGCTGTTGATTGGGTGGCGGCAGCATCACACCAGCTCCGTTCCACGGTAGTCTATGATGCTGCTGCTGTTGCTGGTGCTGCTGTTGAAAGGCGGCCATGGCCGCCAAATGTTGATGGTGGGGATGCTGATGATGCGGCGGATAAGTGGGATTCCCCGCCTGAACCTGAGCCCGACGACGCCCACGATTGTTGGCCATCGTCGCCGGCGGTTGGGAGGGAACTGTTGCTCCTGGTTGGCAGGTGGGCGGCACTGAGGTGTCGCTTACCTATTCCCTGTAGGGCTTGCAGTAGGAATACCGGTGGTTCATGTGCTGGCTGTAGCTGCCCGAGTGTGAGAATCGTTTCAGGCACTTGGAGCACTGGAAGGGCTTTTCCCCGCTGTGCAGACGCTTGTGCTCCGTGAGGTGATGTTTGTGCTTGAAGGCCTTGGGGCAGTCCATGCACTGGTAGGGTCGTTGACCTGTTGAAACGGAGGAGAATACTATAGTTAGTAAAGGCTTCAACAGTATACGATCTAAGTTTACTCACCGGAATGCTCGTACTTATGACGCGCCAAGGAGCTCTGCTTGGCGAAGGCCTTGTCGCACTGATCGCACACGTAGGGCAGATCGGGATCGCCCGCATGGCCGTGGGTTTCCGCCTTGCCCCTCCTGGGCTTTGGTGGCATTAAGCCACCTCCTCCAAACTCATCCTCGTGCGAGATGCGCGAGTCATCGTCCCGCCACGATCGCTTCTCCGATCCACCGGGACTCAGACTGGTGCCCCGGTAATCGGGCAGCTTAATACTGTTCATCAGGGGATGGTTAGGGGCGTACTCTCCACCCGGACGCATTTTAAACAGCGCCTCCATGGGCAACGGCATGGGCAGCATGTAGGGTAATCCCGGAAAGGCCTGACCACTGCGAGGAGTGGCCTCCAGTTGGCTATTTGGAGGCGAAGGCGGCGGAACAGCTCCGAAGTACATGGCTGCCGCGGATGAGGGTGAAATCGAGGCTGGGGACATCGATGCGGATGTGGAGAACTTCCTGCTCAGATTGATGGCTTCGGGGTTTGCTGGTTCTCCCGAGCCAGGAGCTATGTAAGGAGGTGAACTTTTGGGTGTTAAAGGATCCCGTTTCACAGACAAATCCAGTGGTTGATCTTCCCGGGTTTGAGATGTCTGCGACTCATTGGCCACTGGTGTGGCGGCTTGATTGCTCTGGAAACTTTGCATCTTTCGCTCCCTGGAGCGATTGTTCTGGAACCAGACTTGGACCACACGGGGATCCAGCTGAAGGCGGGCGGCAATCATACGGAACTCTTCTCGACTCGGTCGCGAATTTAGGGAGTAGTGCTGCTTCAAATGCTGCTGCTGCTCTTCATTGATGGCCGTTCGCACACGGACTTTCCTTTCGCCACTTTCCTGCCGAGGCTCCTCTTCCATTTCCTCGTCTTCCTCATCTTCCTCGCTGGCAGAGGCCAGGGCAAAGGAATTGCCTTGTTGTTGTTGCTGCTGCTGGAAATGCTGTTCCATCTCCTCCTTAATCAAGCCACAAAGGACCTTCTCGTGTTGCACTAACTCCGTGGGGTGATTAAACTGTTTGGAGCAGCGACTGCAACGTAGATCAGCGGGTTGTTCTACTTGTGGCGCTTCTTCCACGGGAGATTGAACTTCTTGTACCACACTTAGAGGCTCCTGTTCCTGTTTGATCGCTTGGGGGGATGACTGGTAACTTTCTGGAGCTGGCGAGGCTTCCCTGCTGGCTTCCCGCTTGATGGGAGCTGCTTCTTCTGCGACTTCAGGTGTGGGAACTCTTTGCTTTACCTCGGGCTCGTCGATGTCCATTACCAGTTTGGGTTCATCGGGGGTCTCCTCCTCCTCCTGCTGCTGCTGCTCTCGCTCCTCCTCCCTATGCTGGTGACCAGCAGCCGACAGTTGCAGCAATCTCTGGATGCTATACGGATGAACTCCTGCCGCAGCAGCCATAAAGTTATGGGGGAAGGCCAGAAGAGCGGCATTCATGTAGTTGGTGGGGTTGAAAGGCTGGAAGGGCGCAGGCGCCGAATTTCCACCTTGTCCCTGGGCATCGCTGGCGAAATAGATCATTGGATTGGGCAGTCCCGGCAGCGATGGCTGCTGTTCCGACAACTTTCCTTTTCCATGGTCAGAGGGAGATCGGCGCGATCCCGTCGATCCAGAGCCGGGACTTTTTTCTAGTCTCTTCAGTAAAGCACGATTGTTGTTCAACTTCAGACCCATACTGATGCACTTCTTCGAGGTCATGTGCGAGGAAAAGCTGCCCGAGTGCGAGAATCTTTTGCCGCAATTATCGCATCCGAAGGGCTTCTCGCCGGAATGGATCCTCACGTGCTCCTTAAGGTGGTGCTTGAATTTGAAGGCCTTATCGCACTCCTTGCACTTAAATTTCCGCAGGAGCGCACTCTCGTCGTGACTGATCATGTGCCTCTGAAGGCGGTAGACATTCGCAAACGCCTTGTGGCAAATTCGGCAGGTCTATAAAAGAACAGATAGGATATAAATATAGTAGGTACTTAATTTAAATAAGAGTTATTGGTAATTTACAAATTGCCTTGTTTAAAAAAAGGGGGATGCCAATTAAGTAATTTTGAATATGCTAATGTTAGTAGTTTTTTTTAGAGTGTAATATATCGATAGTATTGTTATCCACACAACCATCTTTAGATTTACAGCTTTTGCTGTCCCGTCTCTCATTCTACGATCTTTTGTTTTCCCGGTTACCTTTTCCAACGAAGACGTAGAAAGGAGAAAAGCAGCAGCTGACATTGTTGTCTTAGTTGTTGCTGTATTATGGGGCCACGCAAAGTGAGAAAAAAAAACGGAACACCAACGCACAGGTAATAAAAACTGTTTAAAACAACACGCGTATTTATTTGTTTTAAATTTAATGGCTTTCTAATTTGTTTCAAGGCAAGAAAGGCGACCACAAAGCGGGCCAAATCAAAAGCGACCGCCGAAAACGAGCCATTTTTTTCTTTCTTGTGTGTTTCCGAATCGTAAAAACGGGTATTTGTGATATTTTGATATTTGGTGAATTGTGCAAACGATTTCGAATAAAAATACTCAGTAACTTTAATTGAAAACTAGAATTAAAAGATGCGCGAAGCGAAACGCGCACAGCACGAACAAACGCAAAGAATAAAGTGAAAAAGAGGACCAAAGAGAGACGCGGTATGCGAGAAAGAGATGGCGCGGTTTCCAGTGATGGTGGAGTGACAGTAAATAGCAACAACAAAAGGTGAGAGAAGCACACAAAATGACCCCACAGCAAGGGAGAGGAAGAAGAGCAAGCTGCACTCAGCTGTGCGCCTTCCAATAAAATTTAACTTCAATTGGAAAATTGCGATACAAAAACAAATCAACAAAACGACCTGAAATAAACAAAACAAAGTGCAACAGGGCGCATCACATCAATATGTTTCAACAGCTGATGCTAATCAAATTTTGGGGGGGCGCTTTTGTCTGTGCTTTGATTTGTTTGGCAACAAATTGAACACATCAAATGCAGGCGCTTTTTGTTTTTGGTTAAAGGTGGAAATGGAATTGAAAACGAAAGTGCAGCGCCGCTTCTCCCGCTTTCCCGTCTCCTACTATTCCACTTAGCGGCTGCGTTGAAAGATTTGCGGTACTTTGGCGGACAGATGGCAACACGTGTTGTTGTGCCCCTCCCACCCCGCCCAATTACTTTCTATCGAGTGGGTTGTTTACCGTTCAGCCGTTGAACTTTCCATTTATTGCTGTTTCACCTTCGCTTCCAGCATTTTCCATTTATTATTGTTTCTTCATAAGTTCATGACATTCCAGATCGTTATCACTGTACTTGGAAAACAGACATTTACCATAGCAATTTAAATGATTCATCGAAAATGGTAACTGTTTATTAGTTCCACTGTACTTTTTTTTGACTTTGACTCCTCATTTAAGGTTACAGTTACTCATGAGTTTCAATTAACGCGCTTTGCGCCATTAGTCATTATCATCAACGCATAACCAATTTACCGACTCTCGAGATGAGATCACTCCAAAACTATTATAATGTATTGTAATTAGTTTGTTCGCCAACGTGACACGGTGTTTATTGTTTTAAGCGTGTTGTGGAAAAATAATACATTTATAGCGCGGGCCTCCTAATGTGTTTGTGCTGCTGCTGCTGCTGGTAAAAAACAAACGGAAAATGCTTTTCTCCTGCTTCGTTTTTTATTTCGACAGCAATAACAATTTCCGTTTCCGTTGTTATTCCACCTGTGACGTCATCCCCGAACTACCGTTGTTGAGAGAAACCCCATTTTCTGGCGGCCATTTGTTCGTCAGGTGAGTGAGTGCGATAAATACATACATAGCTGCATAATGGCCACCTGCTGGCTCACTCCCACACGCACACACTCACACGAAAAACCCGTTATCTCTGAAGCCATCGTGAAGTCAGGCTATCTCCGTTCCTCTCTAACGCTCTTAATCAGGTTGTTTGGTTGTAAACCGCAATACGCCTACCTAGAAATCGTAGAACCACAGAACCTAGAAATGGAACAGTAGTAATGCGTTTCGATGAAAAATTTTTGTAAGCCGATCTAACCGAAAAACCTATTCGTATTGTATCCAAAACTAGTACTTTAAAAAGCGTTGGTAAAATTAATAGATATTGGGAAAATGTTCTTTAGATTTTATATTTATAATCACAAAATCTCTATACTCTTAAGCATAAACAACCTTAACACAATAAATGAAAATCTTAAGTAATTTATAAATCGAATAACCAGATCCAACTATCGAAGACCCACTGTACACACCTCCCAGAGCGGACATTAAACCGCAGCTCCACAATGAACGCGCTTTGTTGTCGTCGGCGTTATCAATTAAATGTAAAACGAGGCGCAGCGCAAACGAAATGGAAATGAAAATGGCAGCCGTGAGATACTACACCACTCACACAGATACTATGTACAGATACTTTATATATATGTATGTACCTATAGTGCACACGTTTACAAAAGGTAAGTTCCATTTGTGATGCGTCAGCCGGATTCTTCTTATGCGCTTTTGTTGTTACAGTTTGCTATTATTATATTTGCGATGAGCGGAAATGCCAATTGAAGCTACCTTTAACAAAGCCCCATGAAGATGCCCGCCCCCGGGGGTTAACTGATGGACTGATGGATGGATGGGTGAACTTATGGACAAACGGAGGGACTGTGTGCATGACTCAAGTGTATTTCAGGGGAGCCACTCGAGCCAAAGTTGAAAATTGATTGATTCCACTAAGCGAATGGGCCGCGCACATGGAAATGGAAGCTAAAACCACTCGAGTGTTCAAGGTACAGTCTAACCTCGGTGGCATTATTGTCGATAAGCCACGCGTACGTGCGTACTACGTCCGTCCGTACCGCTCGTTTCCCTCCTTCACCACATGTTGCTAGCTGCTTAATTAATTAAATTTCATCTGAACTGTTCGAAATGTAAGAGGATGAAGCGATTGAGAAGAGTACACGCGAAAAAAGTATACGACTTATGGAATTCTTAAACAAGATTTGACCTTAGGCAGCACCATTTGGTCCTTCAAGCCGAAACCCCAGCAAAAGTTACGCATCTAGTTTCAATTGTTCGATTGCATGGGAACAACAATTTTGAGTATTTAATTCATTAACGCTTGTAACGAACTTATTTGTATATTTATAATCTAGTCCTATTTTTCCTCCGTGTACTTTCACTATTCACCTTAAAGTTCCACTAATATTCGTGGTATTTCAGAGCGCTGATAAGAACGCACTATCTGCTTACTCAATCGATTCCTAAAAGGCGCGTGTGCTCGTAAACAAAGCAGATCAGGGTCGAGAACTAGGATGGAAAGTACGGATTAGTCAGCGAACACAATAACTAACCCCTGCCCTGCCTATCTCTAGTGTTTGCAGATAACCTCGATCAGGTGAGTACAAAAATAAATATTACAAATATTGAAGACAGCGGGAGGCTGGCTGCTTATCAACCAACTTATCGGTCTCAGAGTTCCCAAAAATCGAACCGGAAACTAGCGACCACACACAGCGGCATCTTGTCTTCAAAGCGCTCGTCAAGTTTAATTGTACCGAGCATCTCATGTGCGGATGGTCCAGCGGTTGCATTTCAGCCTGGCTAATTGCAGGCGACAAGCCTTTTGGCTATAATTATAACGCAACGTAGGTGGGCGCCTGTTTGGACCAGGCCAAAAATGCCCAAACCCCAAGCCCCAAAATCGTAGACAAATCAAACGAACGAGATCAGCAAAGATAATGTCTTGTCGCAGACAGAGAGCTAATTTGTGAACGTATTTCACGATTGCTCGCTGAACAAATGCTTTATGCAGTGAGTGACATGGGAATTTGGCCATAATAGCGCGCATAATTGGCCGTAAAAGATGATCGACCAAAGGGAGATCGTTCGGCTTTCAAAGTGTCAACCCCAAAGGCAAGCAAACAATGCTGACAAAATACCATGCGATGTCGAGGTGGGAGAATATTATGTATGGATACAGTGGTGCTCGAGGATGTATAGATTTTGTGGAAATATGTTATAGTTTAGAGCAGAATACTTCAGTTTGGGATTTAAAAATAAAATTAAAATCTTGCCAATTTAGTTTTGAAAACGTTATCAAAATATCAACAAATCGGTAGATTCATTTTTAAACTAAACTTTGTATTGCAAGTAAAAGACCAAATATTTTAGAAATATATATAAGAACCTTTAAGTTTCGAAACGCACTGTATTTTGTTTGTCCACACAGACTTGTCTATATTGTATCTGATAGATATAGTGGCGCACCTGTCGCCTGACGAAATGCGTAAACAAAAATAACAACAAGCGACAAGCTCAAAGTTTTCTGCTTCTGTTTTTGTTTTATTCTATGTGATTCTTTTTGAGGTCAGGCGAAAAAAAAAAAAACAAAAATTATTAACGACGCCACAAAGAAATGTTTAGCGCAAAAAGATGAAACGAAAGAGAGGATGCGAGTGAAAAATACGACGAACATAATGATGTCTGATCTCTAACTGCCTTATAGCGAAATACGCGACCCAATTTTTGTCGCTTATCGCATCGCAGCTGCCGACGCACAGGAAAATAGAGCTGAAAGAATGTGGACTACGAGTGATTAGGGTTTTCAAATGAATGAATCCCCAAGTCGGGCCATTGACGTACCTTTTAAGCGGAGACGGAGAGAGAACTAATTGTAGTACCTCGTGGAATCAAAAAGGTTAGTGGGGGTTATCGTTATCGCCACAAATCGCGCCTGGGAATGAAAAACCTGATAATACGGAGGTTCAGCTTCGGCCTGGACTTCAGATCGGTTAATTTGTTATTAATATTGCGCTAGAACAATGAGTGATTTTATTACGTATTGCTGGGCGGGTTCATTAACTTTCCTCGGCGCGATCATCTCTGCATTAATTCCATTGGGAAATTGATTAACACGCGCCGTTAACAGGGAAATACTTTTAGCCATTGCGGTCACTTTGCTGCCGCATTTCTCAATATTTTATGGCCAGTTGGCTTTGTGCAGACTACAAAAAATATCTGCAGCAGCGTTGGGATTTAAAATTATTAATTTTCCATAAATCATCTCGAGTTCATCGCGGGCTCTGGGAAAACTTTTTGAACTGAAATTCTGTTTCTGTTTCGGTTTCGTTTTCGATTTTCATTCGCCAACGCAGCGACAAATCAAATTTAATTGTTTATAAATAAAACGTTTTTCTCAATGATGATGATGCCCTGAATTTTCCCGCCGACAAGAGACCTGCGAAATTAGTTGCGTATTAGGAAAACATAAATTAGACGATGCCGCGGAATAAATTAAATTTATCACTCTTTATAAAGGCCCGAGTCTTGGGAAATTAAGAAACGTGTCGTGGATAATTAAGATTTTTAAATCTGGCAGCTGCTACGCTTACTTTTGTATATTCAAAACATCTTTATCAAACTTGTTTCAGTGCAACTTGAGCTTTTTAATAGTTATCTTTTCAGAGAAATATATATTTTTTTTTAATTTTGTCTGTTTTTTTTTTTTTTAAGACCTTCGTGACAGTTTAAGTCGTTATCACTTTTAGCTGGAATTGTTTTTAATATACGAGTGTCTCAGGAATTGAATTTGATTCACTATTTCCTTTTAATTATTTGCGCAATAGTTTTTAATAATTGATCTTAAGTCTTTTAGGTTTTATAAAAACAAAAAAATCTTGAAAATGTTTAATCATTAAATGTCCATTTAAGAATTTCCATTGAAATCATTTACAACTGCAATTTGTTAGTTATCTAGAAACTTTTCTCAGGAGTCATCTTCAAGTGCAATCTCTTCTCACAATCAGACTGCCCAATGAAATGTCAAGTGCTCAAGTACTATAGTACCATATACTTTACCGCCAACTTTTCAATTCCCTTTCTCCCTTCGCAGCAGAGCATTTCTCATTAAACATATCAAGTAACAACCGCACAATAAACGTCACAAGTGAAAAAACCCACGGGACTTGCAGCGAGGAAAATTCAGAGCAGTCGAGGGAGATATCGTCTGAGGAATTTCCATGTGAGAATCTGCGCCACAAGCGGAGCCACATAATTTATGGCCCTCACGGTGAAAGTTGATATAAATCAGGAGTAACTTAAAAATGAAAGAATGAACCAAGAAAACCGAAAGTAAGGGACAAGAAGTTTAAATTATAGTCGACCGGCTGACATGTGGAAAAGTGCAGGTGAAAACTGGGAAAACCAGGAGGGGATATCCTTAAGGAAACAGGAACTCCCAATGATGATGATGATGATGATGTGTTAAGGGGAATGGGAAACATAAGAAATGATCTTAAGACAGGGGTTTTCTTTTAAGAACCTAAAGTGGAAATGGAGATGCTTCAATATTGTGAGCAGAAATTATTTTTTTGTCAACTAATTACAGTCATTGAAAAATAATTCAAAAGGCATTAGTTTGCTTTTATGTTTACTCTTACTTATTATCGTCATATAGTGAAATATTTTCCAATTAATTATGATACTTTATATGTTATTTAAAACCCACTGACAATAAATTGTAACTTCGTTTTGTTTAAATCGCCGCATTGAGAAAGTTTTTTAATTTGTTTGCTTTAATTGCGAATAATTTTGAAACTTTCAACAGCAGTAAATACCCGTTCCCCTTCACCTTTGACCTTACAGTGTCCGCAGAAATACATAAAAAAACCTATTTAAAAGTGGGTAGACAAACAAGTAAAAGGGTTGAGCGAAAGGGGCTTGAAATAAATTGCTATTAATTTTTCACTCGCTCGGTTCGTCAAGCGGCGCCGAAAAGACGACGACCCATGTGGTTGTGAACTCGCAGGACTCGCAGGATTCGCAGGACTACACCTAAAGTGCATATAATTTTTCAATTTGAATTGTCTGCCCTGCTCCATTTTGTGGCGGCCAAAAAGGTGGCAACCGGAAGTGGAAAAGCAGCAAACCAACCCACCAAATGAGTTGTGGCCAAAAAGTTGCAGCCATGTGCGTTTGCAGTTAAGCAAATATTTAATTGCTGCACTTTTTCTGTTGAAAGTTGGCCAGGACCTCCGTGCTTTTTTTTGTTTTTTTTTCTGTTTTGCTTTTGCCCATAATTTATGGCCTGCCATTTGCTCGACCGTCTGCCCCTTTTTTGACTCTTTCCCTGGTTAATGATGTTGACCTTAACAACAAATGTTAAATGTTGCATCAACAATGTTGGCCACCAATACGGATTGATATCCCCTGTCCCCCCGTTTTAATGCTTTTTCAATAAAACGGGGGGAAAAAGGCATTTTGTTGCCTACTTTTGTGAGTCGACAGCCTGATTTCCATAATGAGCCATTTGTCTCACTGGCGACGGCGGCATTATTGTTATTTCTGGCACTGTTTTTGTTTGCTGCATAATTAATTGTTTTCACACATAATAATTTAATACGGCGAACACGTGTAAAGCCATTGGCCAACAATATTAAATAAATGCAATGTGCCACATCAATTATAATTGGTCTGTGTTCGTACGGAGTTTCGGGGCGAGTAGTTTGCCTATTTGGCCATGTGTCAATGCGGTTGTTGCCATTTTGGCCTTTTCGCATGTGTTTAAATGTTTAAATGTCATTAACAAAGCCGTAAATTATATGCACCCGAAACCGGGCACCCGCCCAAAAGGTATAAAAAAGGAGTTGCAACTCATAAACCTGCTACTCAGCGTTCGAGTTTGGCCAACTTTATTAGCTTTTTGCCAGGCTGGCAATCATCGCAGCTTAGGTAAATATTAATAACCGACAGGCAGTCCTAAAAAAAGCCAAAAACAAGTAAAGGAAGCGAGATTGTACAGTGGCTGTCAATGTGGAAATGGTCAAGGAAAATTGTTTAATTTTTGTGGAACACCATATGAAGTTATATAATATATTCGATGCTTGAATGGATAACATAATAAATTAATCAAGTTAAAAGAAAATAAGTAAACGTTAAAGCTATCTTCATAACGATTGATTTTTTTTGAATATAATACATATTTTTATGTTTCAGTATCAAGTCTTTTGAAAATGTTCCACTGTTTCCCGAAAAAATCAGAAATCTCATCTCATATTTTTTCGGGGTGGTGTCAAACTTTTTCATTTCACTTGTGCTCACATATAGGGAAGGTAAAAGATGAGCCCCCGCCCCAAAAAAAAGAACACCATACACGAAAAACAACAACAAACTAGCCATATGAATTTATGACCAACGGAGGGGGTTGGACCAAAAGTTTTGGTCGGGGGCGCTTTTCTGTATTTGTGTACTGGGGGAGTGCAACAAAATTATAATTTATGTGGCTTTAATAGCCGCTGGGTAGCTCCAAGGTGAACCAGTCTGTGGATACTGTTGTCCCTCACTTTTCTCTTAGACCCCTGACCCCTGACCCCTGACCCATCCCCTGACTTTCTCCTTATCGCGTGTGTGACGTCTGAAACAGGCTTGGGTTCTCCGTTTTTTTTTTTTTTTACAGCCTACCATATATGGCAAAAGATGGCGACGAAGGACAAGAGAAAAAACGAAGGCATAAAGAAAAAAAAAACAAGTGGGCGGAGGCGTGTGGTTAGGTGTTATCAGGTTCCACTTGCCTGTAGCAACATTTATTTTAATGCCTTATCACAATAGCAGGCCTTAGAAAAAAAATATAAGAAACAACAACTGCACAATTGGGAGTTATGAGCGTGTGACTGACAGTATCCCCCATATTTTTATATACGTTTTTTTTTTACATATACATTTATGCCCCCTTCTGATAACACCCCCAATTGTTTTTCTCCGTCGTCGTCATTGGGGAATTTTCGTTTTTACTATTTTTTCCTTTAGTTCGGTGAACGCCTACGTTTTATTTTTATGCCTCTTATCATAGTTGTACCGCTGTTGTTGTTGTTGTTGCTTCAGACCGATAAAACAAAAGTTGAATGCAGGCAGGCAGGCGCTAGGCGATAAAAATAAGGTTCGTTTCTTAAACGTTTCTTTAGCAGTATTGTAATGCTTGCACAGAAAAAAAATGTATAAAAAAGTAATGAACGATATGATATTTGTTACATAAAACTATTCAACTTGATGAAATATATTTATTCTCAAATGAAATAAAATTAATGAGCTCTGAGTCAGTCTCGCAGTCGCTTTCAAAACAAAATTAATGTTGTTATTAAATTAAAATTTATCTGCATTTTTTTTTTTGGTTAGGGGATTTACACGATTTGTCAACAGGAAATATGCATAAGGTTTGCCTGGGGATCTCGAGACTCTCGAATGGGATAGGATTGAATTGGATTCTGTACTTGGCACCGCTGTCCCGTTATCGGTTAGCTCATTTCCCGTTAGCCGAGAACAAAGCCCACGCATTGTACGCGCCGTGATGTGTTCAAAGATCAAGTGCCCCCCAAGTACCGACCCCTCCCCCTCCCTCTCCCAACCTTATTTTTTACATTTTTTGTTCCAAGTCGGAGTCTGATTATGCATGAGTAACAGTCCACGAACCTTAACACGTAAGACTTAAAAGAAGAACAAGTAACTCTGCTATCAGCTCTTCCAAGAACTCATATCCTCTCACAGCATTATTCAGGTTTAGTCACTGGTGACAGGGGTTTTTGTTCTGATTATCTTCGAGGGAGTAGTTTTAAAGAGGGGTTTTCATAAATATTATTATTATAGCAATAGCAATTTTTCTGGCATGTAGATATTTCTTAGAAATATTTGGAAACACGCCTTTTAAATAAATGTATTTTATGTTTATAAATTGAAAGAACATAATTCAAGAATTGGTTAATGTAAATTTTACTATAATCAATTTAAGAATTAGTTAATAAATCATTTAATGTAAAAGTATTTTTATTTTCTTTTGGTTTCTTTAATTTGTTTGCTTTACTTTTCTCATAAAAAGAAGTTTGCAAACTTGATGTAATTAATTTATATGGAGACTAAAAATAAGTATTTAATCTTTAAATAAAAAATATAGCGGGTTTTGTCTATTTGTTGAAATTATTAATTTAGGCATTTGCTTCGAATAATATGACTTTTAAAATATTTTAGGACAGCTAAAGCTTAAAAGTTGTAGTTCTTGACTATTATTTTTTTACCAAAAACTGACTAAAACACATAGTTTTTCATGGGAACTTTACTAATATAAATTCAAACTCACCTGTGAGACATTAGTAATCGCGGTTTGTCCGCAGGGCGAGTGCAGTTGCTCGTGCTGTTCGAGCTGCTCCCGATTTGCAAAGGATGCGGTGCACTGCATGCAGGGATAGGCGCCACTCAGATCACCAGTTGTGGAGCCCGGACTTGAGGTGGATCGCGGGGCACTCAGATCCAGATCGTAGGCAGAGTTACTGCCCACACTGCTGTTGCTGCCGGGCAATTGAGGTGGCAGCAATTGCAGGCCCATCTGTTGTTGCTGCTGCTGCTGCTGCTGCTGGTGGTGGTGGTGTTGCAGTTGCTGATGTTGCTGCTGCAATTGTTGCTGATGCTGCTGCTGCTGCTGCTGCTGGCTAGGGGAACTGGCGGATCGGGCGGATTGCATGGCCAGAGAGGCGGCGGCCGCCATGAATTGGGCGTGCAGGTGAGCGGGCAGATGGGCTGGTGGGTGTGGCAGTTGGGCGAAAAGGTCACCAGGTGTCAGCGATACAGGTGAGCACATTGGCGACATTTTAATCGTACTATTGTGATTCTTGGCCAGCTCACTGTTGTTGTTATTACTCGACTGAGTATTGCTGTTGGCATTGGTGTTGCTGCTAATGTTATTGTTGTTATTGCTGGTAGCCGGCGATTTCGCGTACCGCCTACTGCTACCGCTCAGGTTGCTCTGCTCATCCTCGGCATCGCTTTCAGGTTGAGCAGCTCCGCAATTCAGTTTGTCATGGGGATGTTCGCTGGCAATGTGCTCGCTAAGAGACTATATACAAAATAATAATAAAAATATATTAACTGGGATTTATTATATAATTTTTATACACTTGGTTTGAAAATTCATATTTCAAATATATGATTAAGCTATCTGATTTTTTGATAAGCTTGCCTTAACCTTTAATAGGAATTTCTTGGTAATATTCTTAACAGATTACGTTCATCTGAATTAGTAATTACCTTCAAGATTTTATAAGTTATATAAAATAATTTCTTGGCAAACTCTTTATAAAACTACATTAACTATGTTAGAAAATTCACCTGAAACTCTGTGAAGCGCTTGTGACACTGGGTGCAGTTGACCAAAAAGGCATCTGCAGCTGCACCTGGCTGGTTGGGATGGGCACCCTGGATCCCGCTGGATCCCGGACTGCTGTGCTTCGGCGACTGGTTGTGGAGCAAAGTGGAGGCCAGCGAGGGAACTGTGAAGAAAAAATGGGGGAAGAAAACAAATTAACTGCCAGATCGTTTAAGAACCATAAAATATGCGAAAGAAACTTGAAAACCAAATGAGAAGTATGGACTGTGAGCCCCACTCACAAAAGGAATGGTTGAGGTGCTGCAGAGTCCACATAGAGAAATTCGGGGGTTTTAATAAGAATTTAAGATAATCTTTTTTAAAGCAAAATTTTTTTTACAATCAAAGAATAATTATTTGTAAATTATTTGTAAAAAAAATACACTAAAATTCTGGAAAATTTCTTTTCTCACAATTAATCTTGTGTTATTTTTTGGGTAAAATTATATGAAAACGTAACTACTTAATTATAACTCTCAATATTTTTGTTCTGTGCTTTGAGGGACTCTGGTGGATCGACTTAATTTCGTGGCAAATCAACTTCGCAGGCCTTCACGCAAGGCTGAAATCCGGAGAGACGATGATCTCATGGTTTCTTTCGATCCGCCAAAGAAACCGAAAGAAAACAGAAACGGAAAAAAGAACCGGAGGAGAACAAGAAGTGGAAGAATTAAAGAACACACGCACACTTGAAAGAGAAGAGTTGACTTAATCAGTTGAAAAAAGCGTTCAACCATGGCAGCCAAGAAAGCGACGGGCAACAAAGGGGAGAAAGAGAGGGAAGAGGCCCCAGAAGATTGCTTTGTTCCCCCGAGGGTCACTCAATTGCCCTCTCACTCTCACTCTTACGCTGACTCTTGCTCTGAAACTTTGTATCTGTATCTGAGAAGGTAGAATACTTCACAAAATGGAGTTTTTCTGTTCTCTGGACTGGCTGTTTGTTTTTTCTTATATAGTAGAGTGCCCAACAAAGCGAGTCTTTGTTCTCTGTTGCCATTTGATCGCTACCTTAATTTAAGCCAATTAACTGGCGGCAGACGAAGACAGATACCCAGATACTCAGATACTCAGATACTCACATACGGGCAGCGGAATGAATGAACCCTGTTTTATCGCCACCTTTCTGCCAGAAGTATCTGTATCTGAGGGATGTGTCGGGGCAATCAAGCGCAATCTACGAAAGTTCATTGCACGTTTTCACTTTCAATAGTTGCAATCTTAATTGACTTCGATGCGGGCTCCGATCAAAAAAGAATTATAAATGATGATCATTAGATGATATTGTCGATGCCTCCCACCTTATCACTTAAGAAGCCATTAAAAGCCATTAAGGGACCAACAGATGACACACGTAGATATATGTATATCTCTAAATATATATAGTTAACAGATCGCAGAGTTAATAATTCCGTGTCCAAGAATTTATTTCGCTCGCCCTGCCTAATGACATTTTTTATTGAAAGTTGTAAAACGACAACACTTTTTTATGGCCCAACATTTTGTTTCATCAACATAATGCCCCAAAGGAAAATGCTCATGGGGAAAAACGTGAAGCTCAACAAGTGTGTCACCAGCTCATTTAGCCCAATCAATTCTTCATAACCGACTCGTCTCGACTCGACTCGATTCGACTCGAGTGAGGAATTATTAACGCAATCGCTTTTACACTTTTATTTTTTCACCCCGTCGCCGTAACGGTATTGAAATATTGAAAGTGTCCCGCAAATTAATTTCAATTTATGCGCTGCGAAACGAAATGAAAAGGAATTTCTTGTATTTGTTTCTGCGGAACTCGAGCGTTTATTTGTGTATTTTTATATGTTGGTCTCATCTTTCAGTTCAGTTCTTCCCAGGGCTTTCAACTATTTTGCGCTTAACGCGAACCAATTGAAGTTGATTGATAGTGTGTTAGGTGTGGGGCAAAAAAAAATCGGAAGAGAGAGTCCCAAACATTTGACTTGTTCAAAGGAGAAGGTATTTTTAATCTATAAAACAAAAATTGGCTAGGAACTGAAAGCTGAGGGGTAAAATATGCAGGAAAAACAATAGGTTATGAAATCCAACTGAATAAATTTCAGGTTTAAGCAAATTTCTATTAGTTTCCTAGATTACTGGGGCACCTCTATATTTATATAACAAAATAAAAGATTTATATTCAAAATGTGGATAAAATTTGATTACCTTGATTAGTATATAGTAAATTAAATATTTCCCAAAAGCTTAACAAAGTAAAGATATTAAAATAAAATCAAAGAATCTGCTGCTTTGACAGTTGCCAAATTTTTTATTGGGAGCACTATAATTTTTTTATTTTTTTGGATTTAGGAGAAAATTTATGGGTGGCCACAGGTTTGCCAAAAACAAAACAAAACGCCGGCAAACACAATCTGCTGGGAGGAAATCTGCTGGAACGATGTCAAGTGTTTGCTGTTGCTTGTGCTATTGGTTCACCTGTGCGGCGGTATAAGACGAGCAACCGAAAATAGGCGAAAATTGGGGGCGGATGTGGGCAAAGGGGGAGGTCGAAATATTATAAATAATACGTAGATGGGCAGGCGACGTAAATCAATGGCAAAATATCCGAGGCAGTGCCGAAAGATACATTTGTATCTGCGGCAAAGACACCCAAGATACACCCACTAATTTTATGTGTTTTTTTTATTGCCAACTTTTATTAGCCAGACATATTTCGACTAAGCCCGGCTAATGCAAATTTATTTATTTCTCTTTCCACATTTTCTTGCTTTTTAAAATTATATTTTCATTATTTAATTTATGCGCTCAGCGAGCGCCTTTCCCATTTTCCACCTGACTTTCCTCACTGTCCTCATGTTTCCATCCCCCGCCCCTCCGTTTTCAGTCGGCCAAAGTGTTTTTTAATATTTCACTGACAGCCGATTGTCACGACAATTTTCCGCGTGGCCGTCAGGTGAGGAAAATTCTTGGGGTCCGGAAAATTGTTTAGCGATTGCTGACGCAGTTGCAGACAAATGGACGACAGGTGGCGCCTGCTGGTGGTGTGGTGGGTGTGGCGTGGAGAGGGAGGGGGAGGGGGGGGCTGCTCGGCTCGATGATATTTAATGCAAATAAACATAAATTTTAGCACTTAATTATAAACAGACCTCCGAGGCCTGCACTCATTTGCAGTCAATGAACGTGGTTAGCATATTTATGATATAAATTCCCCATCGAAAACTGGCTGCAAATGAGCGAGTGCAAAAACACTTAGTACAGAGCTAGCTAATTGCCAGTTGAAAAACGACACTATCAGACAGTCGCAATTAATTTGTAAATGAAAACCTGTGGGAAGGCTCAGGTCCCAGCTGTTGTTTTGGATCTGTTTCGTGTTTCAGACGTGCGAAAGTTTACTATATGGTCGCAAAACGAGTGGAAACCCCTCTATCGACAAATGGAATTCTACGGAGGGTCCGATCTCAAGTGGCAATCGGTTTTAAACACACATGTGAGCGGCATATGGAGTTGTCCCGATAATCGCTCTAAATTTGGAATACTCTTTCGCAGTCCTACCTACCTAGAGATTAATGCACTGAAAACAAATTGGAATAAACTTAACAAAATCATTCTGTGCTAATTTTAGTCATGAAAATGGTTGTACTTTTAAAGTAATGGTAATAATATAAGGTTAATTTTTAATTATTATATAACTTTTGTTTTTAAAAAATACTTTCATCGATGAAATGAAGAAATTATCTGCAACAAGGACATGGTTTTAAAAGAATTAAAGGAGCAACCCCTATCATACTCATTGTGATAGGGAAATTAGTTAAACACCTTTGAAAAGTATGACCCAAAATTATAATATTTTTTCTCTGTGTAGCACCTTTGCCCTGGTCTACACTCCACTTTTGGAATGGGCACAAAGGTGCCCACGTTGTGCCCCTTCAAGTGGCAAATGCAAAGGTGCAGATTCGGAGCCAGACGAGATCCTATAAATAGAGTTCTCCTTTCTGCCCTTTTGCTTTTATTTGTTTGTTCAGCAAGCTGATGCTGTGTGCTGCTGCTGCATGCTGCATGTTGCACGTTGCACGTTGCTAGTTGCTGCGGCCACGTTTATTTTATTTGTAGCATTTTGCTTTGCTGAGTGTGAAATTTTAATAGCCAAGCGAGCCGTGTCCGTGTTCGTGTCCCTGTCCTTTTTTTCCCCCTATACCCTGTGTATATATATATATATATATGTATATAGAGGAGGTGTATCTGCAGGGAATGGAAAAACATATGTGTCCCGGGGCGAAGTATTTCTGCGATTTACCTTGAAAAAATATGCAGAAATGCGTGTGATGTCGGGATGTGGGCGTTTTACGTTTTGAAATTGGAGTTGCAATGCGTTGGCGAGCGGAATGCAATTAGAGAAATATGCCAAAGAGGTGTTCAAAGTGTGGAGGAAATGTGGAAAAGAAACCTAGCCAACCATAAGATATTTTAGCATCTTATCACTCAAAGAAAGCAGAAGATACATTTTCAAAGTTAATTAAAATGTCAATATATTTCTGCGAACTGCAAAACAAAAGTTTTATTTCCAGTATTTGTGTGACAAAAACTTAAACAAACTTTTCCAAAATAACGAAATTTAATAGTTCGAATTTCCCAGAAACATAGGAAATTCATTTACTTATGGGGCACCATAATTTGCATTTTTTTTACAGGAGTCGATAAATAATATGATACTTTTTCTCTTGAAGTATATTTACAAGTATTTTCTTGGAATTGCAATTCATCAATATTTGTAGACTTTGTTTTAATAACTTTCGAGTGTTCATGAAGTTTCAGTAAACAAATTATGAATATGCTTTGTTTTGTTCGTCAAATAACTTTATCGTATTGTTCATAAAATTCTTTAGTACTTAATAAGCAAAACTAAAAAAAAATTATATTTTAACCATGTGAAAAACACTTCTTTATTTCGGAAAATATAACCAAAGTTCAGCTTAACTTGGCTAATTGATATTCACTTCGTCCGCGGTACGTGTATAAATTGTACACCCCATCGTTGAGGTCTCGAAAAAAACTCCGAAATAAAGCCCATCGAATGCAATTGAAACTTTTTCTGCTGCTGTTTCCACAATAGAGCTGTTGACTATTTTTGCTTATTTAAAACTTTTAACAATTATTGTGCAATTGTGCGAAATTTATTGCAATTGAACGCCAATCAGAAGGGAAGTGGGAAGTGCCTCTCAGGCCCTATTTTCCCCCCTTTTCACTGGCTTTTTCACTCCAGTTTTTCCCAATGCCAGTTACCCGTTAACCAAAATCGTTTACATGTTAAATTGTGCCTGCTGAGGCCTCACTCCACTTCTTTATTTTAGAGCCTCCTTTTTGGCGCTGCAATTTTGCCTGCCCTTTGGCAACACCTTTTTTTCGGAGGGGTAGAAGGGTTTGGGGCCAACCGGCACCCTTTTGTTTGCGCCGATTTTTTGGCACTTTTTTTTTCAGTACGGGGGTAGCACGGGAATTGTTGTCTCGTGGTGCGCGGCTGGCATTAAATAAATAAGAAAAAATATTCACAAAAAATGCAGAAAGCCCAAGGAGGCGGGCGCATTCCGTGCAATTTTCACTTTACAACTGTTTCAAAGTTATCTTTGTTTCAATTGTGTGCACAACAGCAGTAGCAGGAAAAAAAGGGAGCAACAAAAAATATTGGCAAACAATTTACTTTTTGGGCAAAATGCGAAATAAAAGTAAAATGTGGCAAATAATTTGCCCAAAGCTGCGGCAGGTTGAACACAGTATAAAGGGAATCTGCAGCAGGATATCAAAGAGGACTTTCCCCTCATTGATTTATTGTCTTTTTGTGTTTGTCGAGGATCCCTTTTTTGTTTTCTGCCCAACGCCTTTCCCTTCGCTCAATTGCAATTTAAAGGCAAAGGCAATGTCTGAAATGTGTTGATTTTGGGGAAAGTCAAAGCAAGTACCTCGAACTCCACTTGAGATAGGCATCGGCAAAATTAATCATCTTTGCATGCCAGTTGCCAGATAGTTTGGGGCCAAGTTTGTTTAATTTCGATTACCAGCTGGCGTGGAGAGCGGAGAAAGTCCTGTCGGCGGTGAAAGATGCAGGATGAGCCAGGAGTTATAAATGGCAGCACCGACAGCACCAGCATATAAAACTGACATCCACTGACAGGGCCCAAAATGATTAATTAGACCGGAGGAAATCCCATTTCAGGGGAATACTATGCATCCCAAGGACCAATCAAAGATGCAAAAGTCAGATAAAATGTTTAATTTTCGGGCTAAACAAAATTCAATTCTAAACAACTTTGATGGGTGGAAATTAGCGCTGATTTAGTGGCCTCGAGTCTATAGATAAATATATTGTATATATAGTATAAAAGGGGCGTAACCGTAGGTGATAACGGGCGACAGGTTTTCGCCAGGGCAAAATGTTTGATTTATGGCATTTTGGAGCCATTTCGAAATGCGACATAACACACGCCGAGGCAGCCGGAAAATTAGTACAAGTTGCTGGCGTTTTTCCCCCGCCGACTTTTCCAAAAAGCCAAGAGAACAGAATTTCGTATGTAGCCGGCGATTAATATCCATCGCAGACACAGCTGCCCAGCGCCATCAAGTTGGCCAGGGAAATACAGCCGGAAAGTATATAGATACATTCGTATTTGTATCTGCAAAGTAAGTGGGCCAACCTGTGCTCCGGCGTCTGATCGATTAGCCGAACTATCTTGTTCGAGGGCTTTTAGTTCCACCCACAAGAAACGAGGCTGCTTAAATAGCAATAAATTATAATTTATGGCTGCGGTGTTGCCGCTTTTTCTTTCTCTTCCAAACATGTGCAATTAATCCGTCTCTTTAGCTGGCTTATCAATTGTCAGTTGGAGAATAAAACAAAACGTGGGCGTCGACATTATCCCGCCCTCCTCCCACAAAAGAACTTGCGCCATCCCCAGTTTTCCTCGCTAAACATTTTCAATTAATTTCCAGTCTTTCACACCTTCCATTTAAACCGATGAGCTCTGGCCACTGACAGTTTTATGCTTTGTTTACACTCGATTAAGATCTTTGAGGTCCGAACCAGCAATATGGCCATAAAACAGGTTCTTCAATGGAGGCGATACCTCAAAAGGTGGCCAAGCAGTATTCTACCTGTTTGCCTGCGCATGCGGTTTTCTGCGTTAGGGGTAGCTACCTGTGTTCTCGGGTGGGTGGAGATTATTGCCAAGGCAGCGGTTCTGTTTCGGCGGTGCCAACAAATCAAATTGAAATGTGGCTGCAATTGGTTGGCAAATAGGAGAAAAAGAGAGGTGGCTATATATCTCTCGTAAGCGTTGAAAAATATAATGCTATTATTCAAGATCGATTGGATGCTTTCATGTCTAAATTATGTGATTTTGCTAAAAATCTCTTATTATAAATTCTCATTTAGAACATTTTATAAGTCAAAACATTTCAAGTGGCAATGGAGGTTGGAAATTGGGTTGCTGAAACTTTATAGCTCAAACTTTCTTGAAAAAAGTGAAATATTGACTAAGTAATGAAATTTTTTGATTAAATTGATTATAAATATAAGTTTAAAGTGTACCATTTTAAATGAAAATATATAAATTAAAAATGTCATATTAAAATCCGAGTAATTTTAATATTGAAGGGTTTTTAAATTTCTTTCGGTGTCCTGAACTCTATCCTTTTAAGGAACGAGAATCCATTTTCTATATATCATTATAATACCAACATTTTTAAGGTGAATGCTAGTTTAAAGTTCCACTAAGTTTATACAAATTTTTTAATCATTAAAGATAAATAGATTTAAATAAAAATTTTGGTGTTAAAATACAAGTAATTTTAATATTAAAAGGTTTTTAAATTTCTTTCGGTGTGCAGATCGCTCTCCTTTTTAAAGAACGAGAACCCATTCTCTGCGTAGGAGTAGGTAACTTGAAACCTGCTACGATCCTTACTCGTTTTTTATGTGTATTTTGTTTTTCTACAGTTTCATTTTTTTTCTTGCTTTTGTGATCCCCTGAGGTAAAGACCACACATATTGGTACCGCTCAAGATGGCGCTGTTTCTGGGAAACTGCTAAGCTTGCATTCGGATCTGGATCTTTGGATCGGGGCTCCCGATTCTTTGGCGCGCAAATCACTTGAGCAAACACACACACACACACACACACACCGCCCAGTTTAAACAAAGTTCAATTGCATTGCCTAGCTGATAGTGAAATCGAATTCTGGATGAATCATCATGAATCGGGATCGAGATGAATGATGGTGATTGGGGGAAGATGATGAACTATCTCTGATCTCGTCGACTGGAGATCACTTACACTGCATGGTGAAGGCTGTGGATGGCATGCTCTGCTGATTGATGGTATCCTCTGGGCCGAAACGTGAAGAAGACGGCGCCAAACAGGACAACATTTGGAATGCTTATTGTAACACTTTTGCTTTACTTTTGATTCGGATAGTTTTGTGTTGAGAGGTTTCGGGTTTGGGTTCTTCTGGGTTTTTGTTTTGTATTATTATTTCTTTCTTATAGAGCACACACGTGTGGCGGCCATTTGGGCAAACGGCAAAGGGCCTTGGGTTTATTATCTTTATCTTTTAAACATTTGAAGCACTTTATTTTGTTTTTGGCAACGCTGCGAGTTTCGCGTTTGTTTGTTATTTTTTGGGATAATTTTTCAGATTTACAATCGCTATATGCGTTCTCTGCGTGGTTTTCTACTGTATGTTCATCGAGTTTTCTCTGTGGGGGAGCGACGCGTGTGCTGCCGTCGCGACGTCTGAGATGCAACTGAATTTCAGAAATACAACTTTCGCAGCATCAAGCCCCGACGTCCTCGTCCGTACGTATCCGTCGGATGCGAACTGAACGTTTTGCTTTCGGGGTTCTACGGGTTCCATGGACGGAGAGAAGAAGACGCAGCTAGCCGGAGAGGGAGAGAGAAAGACAGAGAGAGCGAGCGCGCGTTGCGAGGGTGTTGGTGTGCCTGCGATATAGCCACCACCAGCATAATATAACGGTGTAACGGTTCACCGTTGCGATATACGAGGTGATATGGACACGAAGTGGGGTGTGTGTTGGTGTACTAATGTGGGGTGGTGGTGGTGGTGCTGGTGGCACAGAACTCTCTCTTTTCTAACATAACATCAGACTGTTATTCCGATATCGTAAATGTTAAGGGTACAAATGCCTCTCCTCACGTAAGTCCCACAACGTAAGCACACTACGTAAGGGTGTTCTCTTACTCGTAAACATATGGCCGGGATACGGGTTTTTGGGACAGGGATTTGACTATATTAACATTTGCTCGTATTTTCATTTTATTGACCAAGCGACTTATGAGTCTATCCATTAACTTTTTCGACAACAACACATTTATAATTCGCTTTTATTTGGGTATTAGAAATTTCATTAAACATTTTAATATTTGGGGTTTTATTATTTTCATGCTTAGTTTAGATTTCTAAGTATTAAACACAGTCGATGGCATTGCTGTAAATGGATTCCAAAAATATTTGTAAGACGCATTTATAATTATTAATTTGTTCTAAATGTTATTTAAAAATAATCAATATGATTTACCTTTTTGAAGGGATTTTAAGAACAACCAATATAAAATAATGCCAACAAAATTATACACTTAAAATGTATTTCCAATGAGCTCTTCACTTGTAACTCAAGTGATTGTGTAAAAATTATTAATATCTATCGTCATTTGCACTCAAGTTTCTTTAATCAATCAAAGTTCTTACGAAATATCCCCTGTGTGGGAGTTATTTGATAAAGCCCCTCACATAAGAAAACTTTCGATCGTTTTTCTTCTGGGGAATTTTTGCGGTAGAAGATGAAGGGAACTTTTTTCCAGGGAATCCCTTAACCCTTTCCTGGCCATATCGTTGCGTTAACGGACAAACTCATTTGCACTTGCGATTGCAAAATTTTCTCTGCTGTGATTTCTGAGTAATAAGTACCGAATTCATTCCGCGATTGCCACACATTAATGACATCGTTTGCTGATGGGCGATTTCTTGAGAATGTCCATCAATGGACACGTCTACAAAATGACGGAAGAGCAGAAATCTCCAAAGAAACGAATAATTTCTTTTATGGAGCTGAGAATGTGAATGGTTTTATTCGTTGGATACATCAACAAGTTTCGGGGCCTCAAATAGCATTAAATTAAATTTATATTTCAAACAACTCCATTTTAAAAAGAATCTAAAATATAAATATATATTTTTAAGAAAAGTGTTAGAACTAAATTTATTTAATATTTCTAATTATCGAATCTTTCCTTGGTGCAGTCAAAACTAACGTCAAAAAAACACAAACTCACAGATACAAAAAACACAAATATTCTCCAAAAATCTACTCACACAGATGAATGCTCTTTGAAAAAGAGCAAAAACAAAAAGCAGACTCAACAACATAATAAACAATTTGTACATTAATTTTTAATGCGGTTAACATGTGTCCCCCCTCTCCCTCGCACACCCACACACTTAGTTGGCTACGTGTGTATAAGTGTAAAATAGGTGGAGCTTCATAATTTTCTCACTTGAAATGAACGCTCGTGAGAAAGAGAGAGAGAGAGCGAAAGCAATGAGTGTGAACGAGAAAGTGATATCGAGGGAGAGGCCGTTTTTTTGTTGTTTTGTTTCATTCATTTTGTATGTTAATTAGTTGCCGTCCATCGTGTGTGTGTGTGTGTGTGAGTGTGGGTGTCTGCCTTGGCGTGTATTGTGTATCTGTGTGAGGTGTCGTGGGTGTTAAATGAAAAGCGAGCAAGGTGCGCACATTGGTCGTCATTCGGTTGCACCTGTTGCGCTCACTCGATTGGCGGAAAAGCCCCTGGGAAATGGGGGAAATTTTGGGACGGGGAAAATGGGAGGTGAAAGAATTACAGGGGGGTGTAGATTAAAATAGCAGATGTAGTGCAAGAAAACTATTAAAAATAATCACATGCATCACATTCCTTAAATGATTTTATTACCGTGTATTGACTGTATGCAAAACATTTTCTAGAATATTGCATTCCAAGATTTTTGTTTACATTTCTTAATCTGTCTGAGCAAAAAAATAAATATTTGTCTCATCTTTAGGTATAAATTTAAGATCTAAAGCAAATTTTAACACATTAAGCTTTAATATTTTCAAACTGTGAACTTTTATTTACTTTGTATTTTAAAAATGTATCTAACAAATATAAATAAGAATTGCAAAGTTTTAAATGCGAACAAGTATGGAACAAGGAGAAGTTGGTTTAATGGTCTGCCATTTATACATTTCTATATCTGCCTTTTATTATTATCTTAAGCATCTGATAATGTAAGGGCCTTCTAAGCATCCTACCTCTATTAATTTTTGTAGATCTTAATCGGCCTTCATGCTTCCCCAAAATGAAGTCGTTCTTCTCGACTGCAAAATCCCAGCATTTCCTGTTCCCCCAGGAGTTGCCCTCATTAGACACGTAATTGACACACATCCCAATCGAAATATATATATATATATATATTCAATGGTACTCACGAGTACCTTCAACTACCGCGTCCCGCATTCGCACTCAAGGATTTCTTCCCAGGCTCTCACAGGCAACACCCACTGTAAGTTCTTTATTTAAATTGGATTTGTCGATCATTTTCCGATTCCTTCTTCTCACTTTTATTTCTACGACTCACAGTTTTCGATTCTCACCCACCGCTGCTGGTACCCACATAAAATAAAGTTAACTAAGTACTTTTGGTGGTTCCGCTTTGACGTCATCGATTGGAGAAATCAATTAATTTCACTTTACAATTGGCGGATAGACGAAAAGTGATGAAAGGACCCTGGGAAAATCAATCCTTTTGGAGGGGTGGCTGTAAATCTAAGATCCTAGAGGAGCTCTCCAGATGGGTCATCGTTTTCTCACACTCATTCGTATTGCATTGCATGCATGTTTCTCGTTTTTCCACAATTTTTAATTAGCAGTAAACTTTGCGCGGCCCGAAAAACAAAAGAGAAACGAACCCGAAACCAATTCGATTCGAAAACCGAACCGAATAGTAATGACGGCATAAACACTTTTCAGAGTGGTGGTTCGGTGGTGCTATATTGTACAGAATGTGGTGGTGGTGCAGAGTGATGCACACTTTGGGGTCGCCACAACATCGGACTCTCGGAATCGGAATCGAAATCTCAAGTGTTCTCTGTTCTGCGGCCGCCGCTGCCTCATTTCGTTTAACACTTTATGTGACATTTAAGTGCGGGGAAATGTCAAATTTCCTCCTCGTCTCCAAAATGCATGTACAGCGGTCTAAGCCCCATTTTCCCCTTCTAAATATCGAAAGGGTAGAACTTGTTTGGGGCGCCGATTTTAGTCAAGTGCCTGGCTTTGTGTGGGAAGATTTTCCCCCCCAAGAAAAGTGTTCCTCCAAGGCGCAAAGTGCGATTCCTGGTTTGATTTTCGTGGAAAGCAGCGTAAACTAATGGGTTGTTGTTTAAAAAATTATTGAAATATATTTAATAGAGAGGACAACAGATACTCCTAATACAGGCAATTAATTAACTTTCTTTAACTTAAATTTATTATCATTGTGTTGAAAAATGTACAAAAGTATGTCCACAACTAAAGTTTTGTTTTTTTTTTTTAAAATTTTGTTATATTTGTAATTTATTTTGGGTGTGCGGCTAATTAAAGAAATATCAAGATTATAATTTAATTAAAACCTGTAAGCAATTCACTTCAAAAAAGGTTGTTTATTGTGTGAAACAAATTTTGCAAAACAAATTTGTACGTAAATGGTTTACTTTACGAAGTAATTATATTTCCTTATCCTTTTTTATGTTTCTCCAATAAAAGTATTTGTTTGTTTTGTCATGTTATTGAATTATTCATTGATTTTTTCTATCAATAAAAAACATTGATTGATTCAAATTAGCGGACTTCTTTCTTGTTTTCTTTCTCCACAAAATCCCTTCGGTACATCCTTAAAGTGTGCCAACAACAACTGTTATCCCTTGACAACCCTAACCTTAACATCATCATCATCGTCATCATTCTATACATTGTCAGACCGATCATCGTTATCTGTTTTCATAACTGTCAATTGTTGACTCTTGTTTCGAACTGCATTTGAATGTCTGGGCACAGGCCTCAAACTCAAACTCACACCCATTTTGCCCATTTTCATTCATGAAAAACAGCTGGAAAAGGTCCTTGTGGAAGAGAGATGGCGATACATTGGGAAAAATTTGGGCACGTGTGCGTTGTATGGCATTGATTTTGTGGTTGGACTTTTGTAGTCCTAAGCAGCCTAACGGTTTACCTGAAAACTGTCGAGGAAAATGTTATAAAATAAGGGCTTGAAAATGTTGGAGGAGTGATTGCCAGAAAGAGAGATAAGATATGCCCGCATAGTTTTGGAAAACTTTACCGTTTCTCCACTCCAATTCTGGTAATTTAATATTTTCTATCCAGTGTTTATTTTACGCAAAAACTGTTTGCTTTGCGTTCGAAGGAAATTAACGAAAATTGAAACAGATACTAGGGCACACGTCACACAACTCACGCTCAGCTGAGCAAATACTTGAGTCGATTTCGAAAAGGTTGAGCATATACATATACTTTCGACGAGAGCAGTCCTTCTCCAGGATGTAACATTAGCTGCTAAAAGGTTAAACACACTCTTTGGCCAGGAATTCTCGAAAAGCTAATAAAAAATGCAGACATGAAATTGCTGCCTCCGTTATTGTAACAATATTTAAAGTATAAAAATAATAATAAATCCCATTTGGCCGCCGCCAGCCCGTTCAATGAAAACAATAACAAACAGCCAAAGGATCAGG